CGGGCTGAACCCCAACAAAGGCCCGAGTAAATCCAAAAGTAACCTACAATACACCTCAATTCTAAGACCAAACATAACCAAGCTCTAAACAACATAAGTTCACCAACTGAAATTCAGATAAAAAAGGAAACAAGGAATAGCAAAATCATATCTTCTTTTTTCCGCTATTGTTTTTGTTATACTTCTTCTTATTCTTCTTTCTCTTCACACCTCCTTTACGATTGAAGTCGTCCAAAATATGAATAGCATTAAGCTCCATTTCAGCATCTAGAGTGTAAGAGTTTTCATCGTCTACAAGCATCTCAATTTTGTCAGGTACAATTTTAGAAACCTCATCTCCACCGTCCTTTTGCATCTTATGTTCTTCTCCTTTCATCCCTAGAGGCATATCAATGAGACTGATTTGCGAGGAGCATTCATAAATTAACTTCAAGTCTAAGAGGCCCAAGGGTTTGGTGGAAACCGCATTTGTTTGAACTGCCTCCTTGTTGACTGCCAATGCTTTCAATTCCTTAAGAGACTTACCTTGCTGGAGACCTCCACTGTTAACTTTAGGCTCTGATTCCATCTCTTTCAGTTCCTTGAGAGAATTGCCTAGTTGGGGATGCTTCTGAACTGGAATCGAAGGCTGGAAAGGTAGTGCATGAATGTTGAAAGCTCTAGAAGTGTTGTGCAGTTGAGGCAACTGAATTGTGTTGGCATAATTGAGGCGACTTTGAGCAGAACTATGTATGCTTTCATTTGGGCAAACAACATTAAGACCCAGTTTACTCGCATCAAAAGGGGCAGAAACTGCCTGCTTAGAAGGAGCTGGAGTTGCAGTAAGTAGGGATTTTTCCAAAGCATCTTCATCAATTGGTTGAGTAGCATTAATACCATCTGTAAAAAGCTCTAAATTTGGAGAAGACTGAGTTGAAATCAAGACAAAAGACCCATCCTTGGCAGCTAAAGATGAAACTGGTTTAATGGTTGTCCCTCCAATATCAGATTCAAACAGAGATTTTGAAATGGATGTGTCGATAGAATGAGGTTGCTCTTCACCTAAAGATTCAAACATGTGTTGCTCTACAATTTTAACAAAAAAACCAGATGCATTTGAATCTAGAGAGAATCGGAAAGTTCTACTACCCTCCCTAAGGCTCTGATTCCAACTGGTGACCACCGGATTAAGAAGTATATATTCAAAGCAGGAACATAACCAGCGAACAATTCTAAGATTAGTCCAGAAACGGAAGGTTTTCCATCGTCTTCCCTCAGAAATTTGACACAGATTATTATAGGCTGAAAATCTGAACTCAAACCTTTTCGATTGGATTCCAAAGGTGAAATCGACGATTGTGCAGCTCGAACTTCCATCTCTATCCTCCTTTCGTTTATGGTAATCTCCTCCTCGAGTATTCCTCACAAAGGTTGGTCTACCTTGTATTCTTCCTTCCCCGGCGACCTTGAAGTTGGATGTGAAGCCCCATCGACGGTGGTGAGATCTAAACCTAGCGGCGTCGCTCTCTCTCTCTCTCTCTATGTCTAAACCCATCTCCCATCTATATTATATATATATATATATATATATATATATATATATATATATATATAACGTCTATTTCAGTTTACGCTGTTTGACTGAAATTATTTTCAAATCATTTTATATGACAAATGGTATAGAGTTAAACAATGAAAATTACATATCAAAATACTACATCAAAAAATTTACAAAACTAGTAGTGACAATAGTATTTTATTTTATCAAATTGCTAACGAAAATATAGAAAGTGAATAAAGTTTGATCTTGTGAATAGTAAACATGCATTATAAATTGGGACAGAGGAAGTAGTGTTTATTAGACACTTCACATCACAACACCAACGTAACAATTCAAACAAGCATCCAAAATCTAAAACTCTTAAACAATTGCTCTGACGTGAACAACCACAAACCGCACAAAGAACGGGCACATTGGTCATCATAAAATAAAGTACATGATGACCCAACACATGGTGGCATCACAAACCAAAATACTGGGAAATATAGGGCTACTGGTTCTTGATTTTCCTTTCCGCATCCTCCAAGCTCTGGATGTCCTTGTTGTACTTGCACACACGGTAGATGCACCTAATAAATAGATCATCAACCACATAGAAGCCAACCAATGTAACCCCAATCATCAAAGAGAATGCACGAGGTAGCCTTTCCAAATTACAGAACATTTAATTCATAATCAAAAGGTGAGACAGCAGTTTACCAGTAGAGGAGGCATCCTGCCACACAAAGGATGCCATTCCTTTGAGCCTTGTATATCTGGATTAAGCAAATGGAAACAAAATAAGAGAGACCTCAGAGATTTGTGAAAATGGGTTTTGTTTGTTATATTATGGTTGTTATAACACTATTAATTATTCGCCTTGATGCTATTGAGGAAATCTGGTTTTCAGACCCCAAATTTACTCCAATCTTTTATTTCGCAACAGTACTTTATTTTCTTTTACTGGTGTTAACTCAAATATCAGCGGTAGAACCGCAAAATAGGGTGCACATAACAAACCATTCGTTAGAGTTTGCACTCCCTATCTCTTTGCAAGGTACAAGGGAAATAAAACATGGGGTGCAAAGTCAAATATATAGGACAACTATTGAAGATCATAAATTATAGCTATGGTTTTAAATTTATTGGTAGGTTTGACTAAATTTGACCTGTTTGAGATACTTTTATTAATTTTAAAAAAAATTTGTGATATATTATCCTTAGAAATGCTGTATGAGCATTGTTGACATTGATGAGCGCCAACTCATTTGAAGGGCTTATTTGGCATGTTAAGCACATTTCTTAAAAATGAGGGGTTTTAGAAAGTTCGCAACTAATTCCAGATGAAAATGTAGATTATTTTATTCAAATAGGACTCTTTCAAAGGCTAGTTGATTAAGTCATATTATATTATTTAATTAATTCCACTATTTAATTATATGTTGAGTCTTTTTATTAGACTCCCACAGCATCAACACAAATCTCAACATGTCTAGCAAGCAAATGAGCCAAAACATTCTCACATCTACGAACAAAACGAAATTAAATGTGCCTAAAGGAGGATATAAGAGCAAAGCAAGCCCACATAAGACAAAAAAAAAAAGAGGCATTCTGCTGCCTTGAAAACGCCATCAGGTGTAAGAGAGAATACACCCAAAACCTGTAAACTTCGTACATGGAAAGAGAGAAACATCCACCGAGCCCCTCCAGAAGTTGAAAGGCCCCTCCACCATTTGTAACCTCCCACAGACTGAACTAAGACCTGTGCCGTTGGAGCCACAAGTGTTTTGCAAGTGAATGATCTGTTGCTTCAAGGATAATGAAACGGCGACGACATGACTCCACAGGGCATCATTCCGGTCCCTCCACAAACACCATATTGCCCAAAGCAATCCGCTGAAGATCAGTTGTTGAAGCTGTAACCATAACCTGCTGCAGCCAAGAAAGGGAAAACAAGAGGCGGACAGCCGATTCCCCGCCCAACGCCAGAAGATCCCAAACAGAATTAGCAAACGGGCAAGAGCACACCGCTCTAAAGCATCTCTGAACCCTTGAATTAAGGTTGGGGGGGTACCGGTTGCCCCCCTTTCTTCCGAAGTTGCTCCCAAACCATTGAAATCACCGATTACAAGCTAAGGTAAAGAGGACCGATCCTTGGGAGAACGAAGAAGGTCCCAAGAATAATATCTTCTGATCCCGCAGCAGATCACAGAAAAAATTGTAAACCACCAAGTAGGTGAGTTATTCAAAGTAACTGCCACAATCCACGTGAGAGTTAGAGTAGTTAATAAGATTAGCCGAACGATTGGACCACCAAAGTAGAGCTAAACCTTCACTTCGTTCGACGCTATCAACTGCAAAACACCCATCAAAACTAATCTTCAACCTCAACTTCTCAACACAAGCACGATTACCTTTAGTTTCCATCAAGTATAAAGTCGAGCTTTTGGTGAACACAAGGTCCACCACTTCTTGAACTGTCCGCCAGTTGCCCAACCCATGGCAGTTCCAACTGATGAAACTCATTGCTCTCGGCGAGTCTGGAAACCAAGACACGCCGCTTGCAAGTTTTTTGAAAAATCTATCATAGTCACATCATTCTCCACCCACCCTCCGTGCCTCATTTTTTGCTTAGTGACCAGTTCCAAACCTGTGCTCTGCATATTGTCAGCATCCACATGCTTAGAAGACTCGCCCTTCTTAAATGCATCTTCCACCCATGGGTCCTGGAAGCGAAGCCAAGGGAGTCCCAACCCAGAACCATTCCTCTTGTAAGTTAACCACTTAACCCGCACTAAGAGACACATCATAAGGATAATTAATGAAATCCAATTTTGAGAGAACTACCTCCTTAGAGTGCTTCGCAATGTGCCCCACGATTCCACGAAAAAACAGAAGCTTTTCAGACGTTCATGCCTGAAATAGATTCAAAACACCCCTCCATCTCTTTTGGTTAATTTCATCTTCTCGTAGAGGCTTACGAACATGAACGAAAATATGCACCCTATAATACGAATGCTGCATAGTAGGATTAGGATTAATATCATGCCGAACAAAAGTGCCAACAAACATACCCAACGCTTTGAGAATGGTCGGAGACGTATAACCATAAGGAAGGTTGTGGATCTGCATCCACATCTCAACTCAATTAAGCTTGGACGCTTTAATTGTCTCCCCAGGTTCGAGAAGTTTGCACACCAGGGTTGCATTATTGAACCACCGGGGTTCTTCCTCATCTCCTCAATTATGCGATTAGCATCATTAGCGTGATAGAAATGAAACAAATAGAGTCTCTCCTCATCTTGCACAATCTGCACTCCTAGCGCCGGCTTCCAGACCACCGCAAGAACACTCTGCATGACATCGAATTTGATCGACCTCTCTGAAAGGAACCGACTAGCGATAGTCCAAGTCTGATACACAACATTAGGGACCTGCTCCCCGCCACCAGGTAAGAAAGAAAGCCCCTCCCTCTTCGTCTTTCAAAACCAGCACAGATACTCCCATGTGCAAACCATCCACATCGTGCATCTCCATAGTGTAAGGCCAGCGGCACAAAGAATAGAGAAATCAAGGAAATGAATTGAAAGAGATGGCAGAAACCTGAGAAGACCAGGGAGATTGAGAAAACCCTAGAATCCTAGGGAGAGAAACTCGCGACGCCTTTGATTATAGAGGATAACACGGGAATTTATCATTGGAGATTCTCCTCGGCTCTATTAGTTATATGATTTTAAGATTCTTACTCATATTTTGATAAAGATTTTTCTTCACCTTTATTATTTATGAAGTTAGATTCTAATTTTATAATTTGACAAAGACAATCCTTCATTTATTTTCCTTTCCACTCTTGATATCTATAAGTCACCAAATATGTCTCTCTTATTGGCATGGATGGAGTTATACTCTGTAGTTCATATCACTTGCTTTCCAACCAGTTCAACACGAAAGTCAATTTTCGTAAGTGGTTCTCCAATGCTACTCCCCGTCTAAAGATTATCATATTCCCTCCGTCTAATCCATTTTTCTCAACCTAAACCTAAATATTTTAAAATCCTTTTCTATTCATATTAGGGTTCCCGACAGATTTTTTTTATGAATTTTGATATTTGTATTATTGAAGTATATTTTTCATATATTAATGGGGATGTTGCTATTTGTTCAAAACTATTACTATTTGGGAATATCAAATTTATATCATGAAGTGAATTCAGATTTGTTTCATGAAGGAATATCAAATAGTGTCGTAGAGTTTAACCACTCCATGAATTTAACATGATTCATTGATTTCAAACAATCTCACACAATCTTTTAAAATCGTGCAAATAGGCTACATTAATATCTATCTAAGTCTACGTAGAATTAAAACAATTTATAGATACTTATGAGTGGGGGACTATTTGACTTGTCTTGCCTCTACATAAGTAGGCACATTTGTCCTTGATCCTTGTACTTCCATCAATAAGAAAGGAAGGAGACAATTGAATCTTTGAAGAACTTGACAAAACAAAATACTCCTCTCGTCCCCAAAAGATATTGACATTGTGTTTTGCACAGACATTATGTTTAATTCATTTTATTTCAATATTGGTTTAAGAATAAGAATCTATTATGAGATCCAACTGGGTTGTTGTTGTTGTTGTTGTGATTTAAGAATAAAGTATAACTTATAAATTACTAGATCAAAAAATCTACAAAACAAGAGGAAAAATGGCTATGTTTTTTTAACATATGGTCAATGAAAATATGTAGGAAAGAAAATATGATATAACCCTATGAATAGTAAATGTAAAGGTCATTCTAGAACGAGGGAGTAATTGAAATAAACAGTTAGATAGAAGTGCAAAGTTAAGTGACTCTGATAGAACTCAAGATTGGTGGGGAAAATAAATGAAGGAGTCTTTATCAAATTATGAAATCAGGATCTAACCTCATAAATAATAAAGATGAAGGAAAATCTTTATCAAAATATGTGTAAGAATCTTAAACTCTTATAACTAATAAAGCCAAAAAGAATCTCCAATATTAAAATACTGTGTAATCTTCCATCATCAATGCACATGACTAGATATCTATTTACACAAAGAGACTCTAACTTATACTAGTAATAACTTACTCATAACCACCCACTAACCAAGTGGGAATAACTTACCTTAAATCTCCCACTAACTAAGTGGGAATAACTGACCACTAACTTCCCACTAAGTGGAATTAATTAACTATTAAATGATAAAAATGGAATATAAAAAGACTCAACAAATAATTAATAGTGCTAATTACATAAATATAATATGACTTAACCGACCAGCCTGGAACCTATCATTTCTCCCCTCTTGGAAACACGACTAATCCTCAAGTCGTAACTTGGCAACCTGATCACTTCAATGCTTCCTTGTATATCCGGAAGGCTTTGGTAGGGGTGGCAGGTAAAAATATAAGAACCAGCTTTGAGTAAACTGTATTTGTAATGGCGCATGCACCGTTGAAAAGTAGATCAGCTATGGTAGCGCACAAGGTATTATAAGAAAACGTTGAATTCATTATGGCAGATGTACTTATGTCATTTCTGCGATAAAGTATTGTGGATCTGTTGTTAGCTCTAATGAGATTCTTAAGTGAGGAGAAGAATGTATCCGGTTGTTTTTTGACACTTTTTTCCTCCAAGAAAGAAGATATCCTGTATGAAGGCTCTTGGTATTGGAAGAACAACCTCGACTCGAATTGCCATTGCTAATTGCTCTCCAAGAGAGATGGTCTAGTCAGAATTCATGGAAGAGCAATGTGAGGACAACACCATTGCATTCACAATCAGGGGCCAACTTAGGTCTTGTTCTTTTGGGTTGGAATTTCAGAATTGAATGTTGGAAGAAACTTGAAGAAATTGGAAGAAATTGGAAGGAGTTGAAAAAAACTGGAAGGAGTTGGAAAATATTAAAAGAATTTAAGTGTTAAAAAGTCACTCAATTAGATGATCATCCAAAAAAATATGTAAGAAAACTTTAATTTTGGATAAAAATAATTTATCATTGTCTGTGTTTGAGGTGATATATTATAAATTTGGATATATAATGTTATTTTATATTAATCATATATAAATACCTTTTTAAGTCGTTTTTGGAATAAACTAGAGGGAGTTGGAATGGACTAGGAGTTGAAGAAGTTGGAAGTTAATTTTTTCGACCCAAAAGAACAAACTCTCTTGTCCACACGTAGGAAATTACTTGTTGGACTAGAGGAATCGAAGTGGTTGGCTGCAAAGGAATTGGGTTTGGGCTTACTAACGAATGCAATCTTGCGCTTATGTTTTTGAATTTTCTTTCCTTTCACCTCTAGATGGAATTTACTCGATGTGAGACTTTTTTAGGGTGTCACATAATTAACAGCCGTAACTTGAACTTCAAATGATGCTTGTTCAGAATTAATGACATCAAGGCTAGCTGCAATGTAAAGAAATTGGTGTACTTCATAAGGAGTATAACTGTTGGATGAGAAATTGAATGAAGAAAATGGAGAAACTGAATTTTAGTAAAAGGAACCCATACTGATCTTATGTCTCTCATACCAAATGATAGAACTCGAGATTGGTGGGAAAAATAAATGAAGGATAGTCTCTATCAAATTATAAAATCAGGATCTAACTCCATAAATTATAAAATGAGGAAAATCTTTATCTAAATATGAGTAAGAATCTTAAACTCCTATAACTAATAAAGCCAAGGAGAATCTCCAATGTTAATATACTGTGTAATCTGCCATCATCAATACACGTGACTACATGTCTATTAATACAAAGAGACTTTGACTATTACTAGTAATAACTTACTCATAACCACCCACTAACAAAGTGGGAATAACTTACTCTAAACCTCCCACTAACTAAGTGGGCATAACTGACCCCTAACTTCCCACTAAGTGGAATTAAATAATTATTAAATGAAAAACATTAAAAATATAAAGGACGCAACAAATAATTAAATAGTGCTAATCACTCAAATATAATATGACTTAACTAACTAGCCAAGAACCTATGAGACTCATTTAAGAATGTTGTTTGAGTTAGGTTTCAAACTAAAATCAATGTTATAACACTTCTCTGACCAGAACACATTTTGTGCCTTAATAGTCCAATTGATCACATGCCATTATGTATTCTCTTAAAATTCATGGATTAAGCGGCGACACACAAGTACTACCAATTGTACACAGACCCCTGATTCTCTAATTATATTTATCTCCATTGTTTTCTATATGCTTGTCAATAAATTGTTGATAACTTGAGTAGTAAGAAGTGCCGGAAATGAAAATGAGATAAGTAGGGCATGAAAAACAGCTATGTGAGAGAGAATTTCCCAAATCTAATCTAACTATATACAAAGCTAGGATGAATTTGTGAATAGTGTTCCCGCCTAAATGTATGGGCTATCTACTTCAGCTTTGGGCCTAGCGAATTGGGCCTGAATAATGGGTAGTGTTCTGTTATGGATCCGCGTGCATAATAATTATGTTTTATAGATATTTGAGAAAAAAGTAAAAGTTGGTGCGTGGCTCCATGCAAGCTTATGTCAAATCAAATTAAATAAATAGATTCAAAAAATCTAATAATTTAAGAGGAAAAAGTTGGTGTGTGGCTCCATGCAAATTTTAAATAAAATCAAATTAAATAAATAGATTGACAAAATCCAAACATTTAATGGGTAGGTTGATTGTCCAACTATATATACTACTTATACCCCAAACATTTCATAACAATCTCATCCCAAAAAATTGCCCTTCTTTTAAAAAAAATCGCAAAAAAATTCAAAGAGTATGTGGAATGCTCTTGCCAAGATTCACAATAGCCGTACCACTTGGATACTTATGTTACGAGCCGTTCGTGTCTACTTTGTTTCGACTTGGGCAAAAGGGGGAGATTCAATTGAAGTGACCTTTCATGATGAACATGTATAGTATTCACAAATTTTTTACATTTATTTATTTACTCTAATGCATTATCTACTTTGTGTAGGGCACAAGGATTCACACTCATCTCAATAAACCTTAAAAAACGTTTTGAAACTCAAATCTTAGAAGATGGTGTTTTCGAAATATCTTTGTTCATGATAACTACCTCTAATCATTTTGTTTTCGGATTAACTTCATCGATTTGAAACAAAGCTTTGCAATCAACTCTTTTATTAGTTAGGTTTGGGATTCAATTCTATGAAATGATATGCTTCTCTAATGTACTCTGTATTACTTATATTTATCTTTTCTCTTTACTTAAATGTATTTCTTTGTTATAAATTTGTTTTCTTATGAAATTGGTTATAACATAAATTTTGTTAAACATTCGGCCCGTGCATAGCTTCAACAGGGATTGATTTCAGTTGCACAACAATACTAGTCTAAAATTAATTCATCAAATTATCATTAGGTAACCTTCAAAATTTCAAATGACGAATATAAAGTAAGAAAGAAATGCAAAAATTACCGATTTCTCATAGCGATCTCTCTCGGTGGCAGTGCAGACCTCACCTGTGCACATCAAACGGTGCTCATTCTTCCAATATATATCTGACAAAAAAACAAAGCACTCAAAAAAAAAGAATTAAGCAAACGCAACCAAAATTGGATATCGTACGTTTCCTAGATCAAGATCGTTCAATTTATAAGCAGAGGAAAGGTAAAGAAATAAAATGAGGAAATGTTACCGAGGAGCTGGAAAGCGGCGAAGGGAACGATGAAGAGTAAAGGCTGAAGGGTTTGAGATATGAGCGAGACGATCCGAGACCGGAGAGGCTTCGGCGACGGCAGCGTGAGGAGAATAGCAACGGCGGCCTCAGCTGCCACGATGTAAGTTAGAATTACCCACTGCAACGCCATTGTTTTTAGCTCTCCTCTAGCTTTCTACGATGTAAGATGTTGGGTGTTCATTCTTAAGCTACTTATCTTTAGGAATTAAACTAGAGAGGGAGAGTACCCCATATGTACATTAATCCTTAATGGACCATGCTACACTTACACCAAAAAATATACCTCATTTGTACACCACATGTTTGCACAAACATTTCGATGGTTTACACCGACACAAGTGTTGGTGCGTTAATAAAAATTCACACAGACACAAATGTTGGTGCGTTTAACAAAAATTAGTTTTACACCAACACAAAGTGTTGGTGCAAAACTGCGGGGTACAAATTGGGGTACAAACCTTGGGGTACACATAGCATAATCCCCAACACACACAAAATGAGACATTTTGTGTTTGGTGTACCAGTGGAGTATCCATGTTAGTGTATCCCTAGCATTGTTTTATCTTTGAACCATACAGTCCATCCAACTTACCCATACATTTGCATCAAAATTTTGATAGATACTTCCTTGTTTTAGGAATACTAGACTCGTACCCGTGCGTTACACGGTCTAATTATAAACTAAATAATCAGGAAAAGTATTGATAAAAGAAAACGATAAAATTAAATTAACATAATAATATATAATCAAATATTAAAATAAAGGAAATGAACAATAATACACAATGTGGATCCATTACATTATAAGCTTTGAAAATCTTTTTTACAAACTACATTGAATGTTTGAATTTTGTGATACATGTGGTTTCATTTCTATGACAACCCTTTATATATTGGATGTGAAGATATCAGTTAAGGTTTTTGTTTCACACTTCATATTTATGGATCTTTCACTCTCTTTATCCTTTTATATTTTCTATTTTCTATTTTCTATTTTAAGTATTGGTAGTATTCATCCATGTGAGGGAGTGCCAATTTGGTATATGGAGTATATAATACTCCCTCAGTCCACAAATAAACTTTACGTTCACTATTCACAAGGTCAAACCTCATTCACTTTGTTGGCCTATTTACGTCACCCATTTGATAAAATGATATGGTCATGTCACATCTAGTTTTGTAGATCTTTTGATATAGTTTTTTAATATGTAATTTTTATTTTTTAATTCTACACCATTTTTCATATAAAATTATTTGAAAATAACTTCAGTCAAACATCGTAACGCGTAATGTAAAGTTTAATTTTGGACGGAGGGAGTAATTAGACAAAGAATCTATAAACTTATTCATTAAATGTATGGATTTGATAAATTTATTTATTTAATTGGATTTGACATAAAGCCACCCTTGAGCAACGTAATATCTTTTACTTTATTGAATAGGTAGCTATACTTTTCCCTTGAGCAACGCACAAAATTTCCCTTGAGCAATGCACCAACGCACCAAATTTTTCTTGAGCAATGCACCAAAAAGTTATAATGGCACGCATTTCAAAAGATTTGAAAATCTACCTTCTTAGTTGGCACGCTTAAATATGTGTTGCAGTAGTAAATACTCCAGCAAAAGAAGATTTGTAGAATCTAGTAAATAAATGTTGATTGGACATAAAAGACTACTTGTATGGTTGGAAAAGAAGATTTGGTAAATCCTTCAAGTAAAGCTAATTTCAAATAAATGAAAGTACTTTTAGAAATACAAAGTACTCCGTATTACCCAAGAAATATTAGCATGGATAAAAATTCCGGAGAAAATCTAATACTCTAAAAGAGACTATTCCAACTTCAATAATATGCTCTATCAAATTCTAGGTACCGAACAAAAACCTCACCATCAACCTACTATATGATTTGTTCAACCCACATCACTAAGAAGTAAACATTTTAAAAAGAATCATTAAGAAGAAAAAATTGAAACAGAGTATTAACAAAGACGCTAGAAGAATTCCGCTTGCTAGCTTCCAAAGTAAGAGCTCAATCCATTTGCAACCGGCATTCATCAAAGTACATAGATCAGATAAAGCAATTTGGCATTGAGGCAAAGAAGATCACGTTGCAAGTTGAGACTTGAGGCCCTTTAGGAATCTAGAGGACGATCAGACACATTTAAAGCGAATTACCATGAGGAATATTGCTTATTTTTTTTTACATATATACCCACTAATAAAAATCCAATTATTGTGAAAAGAAAACCAAGAAAAATGGAAAAATATCATCAATAAGTAATCCCAAGTAAGATAACAAAATAATCATAAAGTGAGAAGAAAGCTTCTGGGATCTTACCAGCAATATGAGGTCCCAAAATGTGTTGATACTTTTTTTATTCAAGAGAAAACCTGAATAGCCACACAAAGCTTTAATGATCACATAATTGAAAACCAAGTTTTCATTGTGATAATTTTCTCCATATATGCTTCAGTACACAATTAACATCGAAAGCCTAATATATACTCACTACCAGGCCCAATATGTAATTTAGAAAATATTTTGTTTTCAAAAAGAAATAATAAAAAATCACCAAAAATACATTATTCTGACATTTGATTGACCACATCTTGTGTTAGTATGTATGTGGTTGACTTTCACAACCTAGAGAGAGTATTATTTTATCAAATGAATACCGAAATCATTTTTTTACACATTATTTTGCACATTAAAATCATTTTTTTACAAATGTAAACTTAGATGACACAATAATTAGTTGTTGAGAGCATAGGAGCAAAATTTACTGAATGATAAGCAGCACATGAACAATAATGTGCTAAAGGGAGTAGTGTATCAAAACATTACATTGTATCATATAGCCTTTTCATCCTGAAATATTATGCAAGGAGCACATTAGCCACTCAAAGATTTGTAATGCATCTAATATATAAAAAGATTATATACACATGGAATGCTTGTGATTATGCATAGTTAATTCATCACTCTTTTAATAAAAACCCAACATTTTTATCAATTAAGATTCAACATTATAGCAGTACTTACTTAAAAACAAATAATGTATGGAAAACCGTAACAGCTAAGAACCCATAAACTACAACAATCTAGTACCCATTAAAAACTAAATACTAAAACCTCACAAAAAAAATAAACTAATATTGTAATTTTCTTACCTTGATTACAGTGGATTATCCTCACAAAAGCCCTGCCATTATTGCCTTTTCCAAGGCCCCATGCCTTCTAGATGGAAAGCCAAAGCTCCACATCAAGGTTTTCTATTTTCAAGCAGTGCCTGAAATGACAAAAAGTGCTAATGGTGTAATATATGAACAATTTTGATGGTGCAATAAATATTAGTCTTATTTATTTGGTGGGACGGAACGGGAAGAAGAACTCATAATAAATAAAGGAAAAGATGATATAGAATAAAAATATGTCTAATTTAGAAATATAAAAAAATGAATTAACCTTCGAATTCCATTAAAAAAAATTTACAACACATGGCTTAACAAATATCAAAAATTAAATGGGGCATTGTATTGGACCTGTGATAGGATACCCAACAAAGCATCCATCAATTTATTCCTCATTTTAGTTGTATTATTCTCCAAAATCTGAATGAGCAAGAACATATTATATTAAAATTAAATCCAAACTTCTAGAAGTAACTGACTTCCTAACTATGTGAGAAGCCCACATATTAAAAAAAAGAATTAAGAAGAAAAATCTATTTGGTCATGGATTTTAACCTTTTTAAGACAATCAATCTTAGTCTTGCGATCTTGTGAAGAGAATCACAACTTACTGTTTGGCCATCGGTTTTAACCTTTTCTTCGTATCCGTCTCAGTTGCCCCTGTCCTCATCATGGTCGCCTTCTCCATCGCCAAATCTTGAGTTTTAAATTTTGGAAACTCTAAGTACCAAAAATCTTATTATCATGCTCTAAATATAAATAATTTGAAAAAGAAAGAAGACATAGGTGTTATCTCGTCGTATGCAGTTGTTGATGGAATTAAATCGTCGTCCATGGACGGAGTTAGGCTTTCATCATTCCTCGCTTTCTTGGGAAACACCTGCAAAGAAAGTAGAAAAAGATTTTTAGTAAAATGAAGCTGTGATATCCTTAAAAGCTAAAATATTTTACTTTATTTCTATTCGGAAAGTACTTGCATTTTACATGGTTTGCTCCATAATCATTCTACTCTTGAGCTTTCTCCTAAGAGGTTTGTCCTTGTACATTCATTCAAATTTTTATACTCCAATGTGACAAACATTGTTGAAGATAATTCAACAATGACCCCACACCCACTGCAAAAAGAGTGCTCAAATTAACCATTTCAAGAAAAGAAAAAAAANAGCTTGAACATCCTCCATTGCTTGATAGCAGATTCTGGAAAATCTAAAAAAGTATGCCTAAAATATGAAAATCTTAATCTACCAACAAAAGAAATTGAAAGAAAAGGCTAAGATGAACACTTGCATCGAAAATAAATCTCTATATCTTTGTTCCAAATCCTAGCACAGAATCAACAATTTGCCCCTATGTTCCCGATCCTTTTTTGCGGGGAGAACTACTGGACCAAAGGTTATATTTTTGCATAGAAGATGAATCTCAGTATTTTTGTTTTTTTGGATGGAAAATCAAAATAAAATCTTAATTGAAGCTGAGTACATACCTGGCCCGCCACCGCCTTTGTCCTAGCAAAATCCAATGGTTTCAGACGTGGTTACTTTCGAAACCCTAGTCCCAAACATGGTTTCCAGCGAGCGTGAGCAGAGAGGGTGCGGAGGAGGAAGGAAGACGAAGACCATCAGGAAAATGAAAGCACGGATCTGAAATTTCTAGGTCTCCATTTTGTCTCCAACCATTGTTCCAATTTGGGGCCCAAAAATCAGGATCTGAAATTTTATACCTAATATATGAAAATCTCAATCTAGCGACAAAAGAAATTGGTAAGAAAATGAAGAAATTGTAAAATCATCTCGGTGGGAACCTCAAAATTAGAAAGAAAAAAAAATTCCAATCAGCGGCGATGCTACTTACCCGCGGCGGTGCTCTCTCTCTCTTTCGCCGTCTCTCTCTCTCTCGCTATGGCGAAGTTCCGATTGGAATAGGACGGCGAAGTGTTGAGCGGAAGCCTTCTTCTTATTCGTCTCTCTCTCTACGGCGAAGGGCTGATTGGAATTGGACGGCAGAAGCTTCCTTTTTATGGACCATGCTACACTTACACCAACAAATATACCCCATTTGTACACCACAGGTTTGCACAAACATTTCAATGGTTTACACCGACACAAGTGTTGGTGCGTTAATTAAAATTCACACGGACACAAATGTCGGTGCGTTTAACAAAAATTAGTTTTACACCAACACAAAATGTTGGTACAAAACTGCGGGGTACAAATTGGGGTACAAATTTTGGGGTACACATAGCATAATCCTCCTTTTTATTCGTTCTTATCCGAATGTGCGGTCCATATCCAGCGGCTACTGTAGCTATAAAATGGGCGGGAATACTGTTCATAAACTCATCTTACCATTGTATATAGTAAGATTTCTTCATTTTTTACTTTTTTTTTTATCAAAATTGGTAAATTTTGACCAAAACATTAAATAAAATTGATATTAGATATTGATACAGAAATAGTTTTATTAGATTTATTATATAAAATATTTTTAAAATATTATTTTATCTAATTAATATAAAATATATGTTTTACTCCCTCCATCCCGGAGTATTTGTCCACTTTTGACTTTTTTTTGGTCAAGATTGGTAAACTTTAATCCCAAATTAAATAAAAATGATATTAGATATTGATATAAAATAGCTTTAGTTAAATTAATTATATAAAATATTTTCAAAATATTATTTTATATAATTAATATACAATAAAAATTTAAATTAATTATAGGTCAAAGGTGAAAAATAGTTAACTTAAAAAGTCAAAACTGGACAAGTACTCTAGAACAGAGTTAGTATATAATTATAGTGAAAGTTTGAAAACGATTAAATGAAAAAAGTCAAAACTATACAAATGCTCTAGGACAGAGGTAGTGTATGCTTTGTGAACTCTCAATTATTATTTTTTATTTTTATCACAAAAATATTTAAGTTTTGAAGAATTTACACGTAAGCTGCATCCATTTTATAAGTGACTATAATCATGTTTGCATGATCATAATTTTAAATGTAATCATGAGTTGACATTAAGATCTTTTGTCTTTTCAAATTGCTCAATTCATGCAAAGCATTTATATATTAAGGTCCATAAAATGAATTCAAACCTTAGAAATACAAAAGAATTGTCTTGCTTAATATTATAAGTTGATTCATACCTGTGCGTTGCTCGAAAAGAAATTTATGCCAATATATTAACATAAAAATTTCATGAAATAGTTTTCAAAATACAAATTTTTATACAGTATTAACTTAAACATAAATTCATTATGACTTAAATAATGTTTTATTAAAATAAATAGGCATATACATACTTGAAAAAATATTTTATCAACATTTAGAGTATACATTGTATTACTTCTAAAACCTTTGGTTTACTTTTATATCGAGAATATAAAGATCATTCTAAAGTAAAAAGTTGTTCACAAGAATAGGAGTTTTAAAGTACACTTTAAAAAAGTGAAATGAAGATGAGAAAATAGTTTGGGATAGATGAAAAAGAAAGGCAAATTTTGGCACACAAAAAGAGGGAAAAAATCACACAAAACAAAAGTAAAACATAATTTTTATATTAAAATATGAAATTAATGTTTTTATTTTCTAAATAGAAATTTGCACTCTATCAGTTTGACATTGTATATTAATATTCAAATGTTTTTTCGTATTATCTATTAACATTATTGGTATTGTAACTATAATTTTTGGAACAACAAACTCCTATTTTGATACATTCTCTATATTTTTGTTCTTAGTTTATTAGTCCTTTTCCTAAAGAAGTATTTCCTCCGTCTCACTACAAATTTCTGGTTTTGAGTGTTTTGACGAAATTGGGACACTTTTGATTACAAATTCTAAAAAATAGTATATTTAATTATAATATAAATTCAATATAATTGGATTCATGTTTGGATATAGTTTTGATACATCAAATTTTTTTATCATTCATTGATTTAAATTATATTTAATTTGTGATCAAAGAATATCACAATTTAATAAAAAAACCCAATACAAGAAAGATTTTTGGACAAAGCTAAGGGATTATATGTTTAAGAACACATTATCCATTCTTGATTCTTTAAAAAAGAATAACCATTGTTGGGCGAGGCTTGTTTGTTCGCCGGCTCGATCCATATTCAAAACCCTATATATAAGCTCTCCCTCTATATAGAGCCTTGTATTTCTAATTCTACAGATCATTGTTACAGCCATGGATTAGAACAATCAAACTATGTTAAATTCTTGTGTGTCGTTTTTGTTCTGTTCTCTATTGAATCTCGTGTTGTGCATTTAATTCAAGATATTTAGTATGGGAGAAGGATCAAAGTAGTAGTAAAACATATGACATATCCTCAAAATAAGAGTTGAAACATAAACTCCCCTAAATAGGAGTAATTAATTTAATTAATCTAATGACTTAGAGTAAAGGAGCCAAATGATAGTAGGACCGTTTACAAAGTACAAGCCGTATGGATTAATTAAAACCTGCCTCACAAATGAGGCTTTTAGTCCTATTTATACTAATGACTCTCTACTCTTCAGGCCGGTCAGTCTCCAACCTGTCAGCATGCATGCCTTCGTCAGATGAAGCCATGTCCGTGATTCTGAATCTTCTCACCCCTGGCCGGTCAGACTGCCCGGGTTGACCAAGTCATAGGGCGCTGGATTTGATACCTCCCAGTCGGTACGAACCTACGGGGTGGAATTAATGGGTTATTACCCATCAAGGAGTCCTCCGATTCCCGGCTCTCTAGGTACCATCAGGGGCGGGAAGCATATACAAGCCATTTCTTGAATTTCAAATCCCCAGGCTGTTTTGGGTGGGAAAATATCATCTGAAAACCGGCGCCAAATATATTTGAATTTTGAATTTTGAAATCCTGGGCGCTAAAGGCAGGGGCATCTTTATTGGAATCCGGTACGGCGCTGCCGATTTGTTGCACCGTTTCGTCTCCCCGAGAAGTTATCATTACAAATCATTTTAGCTGCCACGTGTTGCCTTCCCATTGGTTCGGCTGGGCGGCACCTCCCCTATATAAAGCGAGGTTCCCCACCAATTTCTTCACTTGCAATTTGCTATCCAAAAAACTGCCCAGTTGCTACTATTGTCTCTTGAGTCCTCGGAGTCTTTTACTTTCAAGTAAGTATCCATTTGCCCTCTTCATTTCTTTGAGTATGTCTGAGAATGAGGACAGTCTGAACCCTTCTTTCCATTCCTATGGTTCTGATGCCCGGTCTTAGACCTCTAGTTCCCAGTCTTCTTCTTCTTCTGAGCGCCCGGCTACTTCTCAACAAGAGAAGCCGGTCAATGCCTCCACTTGTGCCCCTTCTACTTCCGCAGCACAAGTGGTCACGGTAGCCCGGTCCGTGGATGAGGGCTTTGTTCCGCTGGATAACCGGTTGCTCGTAGAGCAACCGTCAATCATGCAGAAGGCTCAAGTCCATGAGCTGCGCAACCTTCTTCCAGAGGGTTACCAATTGTTGTACCGGGCTACGTGGAGGAATATATTTCCCTCCTCACCGGTACCACAATTGGGATCCACTACCATTCCATCAAGGAATTGGGTGAATTTTCCATTCACCCCTTCAAAGTCCTTTTCTTTGAGACATACGGGATCATGCCCGGGCAGGTGGCCTCAAATGGTCACTGTATGCTCAGTAGCTTCATTAATGTCTGTCGCTTCCTTCGTATCCCCCTCTCCCTTTGTCTCTTTGATCATATGTTCGATGTCCGGCCCGGGTCCATAGGAACCCTTGGATTCATGATTGTTTCCTCTCACCAGGGCCGGGCTTTTCTTTCTGGTCTCCCTCCTTCCAATAGGGGCTGGAAAGACCCGAGCGAGTTTCCTTTCGCCCAAAACGCATGGGGGAAAACCTTAAGGTCCATGTCAAGCCCAGGGAGACCGATGACCTGGCCGCCTAGGAGGCCACACTCTAGGCCGGGGACACTTCCACCCGCGACCCGTACAACATTGGGAAGTGGGGTGTCTACCCAGGTTCGGAGACTGACCCGGAGCCCGAAACCATTCGGGGAGATGTGATCCCAGACGCAATCCCTCTCCGCCGCATCCAAGGGTCCACCGCCCTGGTTTCCACTGCCGCCAGTTCCTCTCGTCGGGGGAACAAGAAGGAGAAAGGTCCCTTCCTACTTCTTTTCCTTCAAAAATGTTTCTTTTATTTTTTCTTGTTTATCTACCTCTACTGACTGGTTTCCTTTTTTCTTGTTTTTATTGCAGTGGTTAAATTCAACTCCAAGTTCTCTATCCCCCACATCGAGGATGTCGAGGGGACCTCCTGTAACGCCCTAAAACCCGGCCCATCAGAATTAATTAATTAGAAATAATTAATTAATTATTAAGACGGACATGGTGAAAATTATAAATATTCTTCGTTTGACAATAAAGATTATACCGTTGTGTAGGGTTCGACGGATCAAATCTAACGGTGAAATCGGATTTGGATTTGGAGCCAGTGGGCCTGGAAAGTGCGTTCGGGCCAGGTACGTTCCCAAAACCCCAAAAGTATAAATATACTCCTTACATGTTCCAAACCCTCAAGCCACCATAATATTTACGTAACTTCCCTCTCCCTACTCTCTCGTCTCTCTCGATCGAAGCAGCAGCAGGGCATAGCAAGGAGAAAAAGGAAGAAGGAGAAGGAAGAAGAATGAAAAGGAAGAGTTCGACGCCATTGTTCGTGGGTATTATCTCGTCGCTTTTAATCGTCAATTTCGAGGTGAATACGTGGTCATCTAACATATGGTTATATTCGTGGATTTTAAACTTACGTTCGTAGAATCGTTACGGTTGATCTATTTGGACTATACGTGAATTATGCCTTGTTTATGTCGTTTATGATTTGAAAAGCATGATTTGGGTTAGAATGATTGAGGGATGTTAGATAATGCTGGGTTAATGATTTATGACCTATTTATTCTTGTTTTCACTGGAACTAATGTTGTTTTATGGACGAAAACGGAGCTGGTGCAAGTCTGGTGTTCGCCGCGACAGACGGTAGACGGGTACCGTTGGTACGGTACCTGGATACCGCCAGCCTCCCCGCTTTTGTTCGTCTCTGTCGGTACCTGTCACCAGACGGCACCTAGGTGTCGGATGGGCGGTAGGCCCTATCGCCGGTCGGTAGAGGCTACCGTGACAGCCTACCGATGGGGTGCACCAGTTGACACGGTCGGTACCCGCGTACCATGAGGACGGTACCCTTGTACCGTGGGGTCGGTAGCCCCTACCACCAAGGGTACCGTGTGGTACTTGAACTGGTCTGAATTTGTTGTTTGTGTCAAGGATCAATTCCGAGGCTTCGTGTGGTTCATGACGGTAAACATGGGTGTCAATACCTAGAGTTAGGCCGCTGTTTGAGAATGTTGGATGTGATTAATGATGTTGTATGAAGCATGAATAGGTGTGTTATGAATTATTGACAATTAAAGGATGGAATACCTAGACTGAACTCTAGGAGCTGACCTGAAAGGATTAATGGCAAGTTATGCCATAAGTTAGTAAGTTAGAGTCATGTGGTACCTGCTGGGTCCATTGGCTGTCCGGGTAAAAACGTGTACACGCGAATCTAAGAACTGTCGTTCCGAAGGGGACAGGGATCTCACCCACCCAACAAGGAACTCCCGAGTTGGTTTGAGCTTGACCTTCATTCCTAAGGGGAAGGTCATGACTCCCATAGGCAAGTCGTATACAGCTAAGCTTTAACCTAACATAGGTTAAGAGCAAAGTACAGAAAGAAAGTAAAGTAAATGAAGAGGAAAGAGCTTGTTATTATATCTGGCAAATTGTACATCTTGAATGATGATGTTACTGTTTACGCATGTTATATCCTGTATGATGTATGAATATGTTGAGCATGTTGTGTGCATGATATCGTAGGAGGATATGGGCTAGTGGGATCATCAATGGGTATAGCTGTATGTTAGATATTTCTCACTTAGCTTCAATGCTGAGCGTGTAACCCTTTTCCTATTTGCTACACGTAGGTAATCAAGGAAATGATGAGCTTGGAGCCAACCCCGGAGGGCGATGAGGAGGCTGAGATGTGCATGGCAGTGTTCGACGATTTTGAACTATTATTATTTATTTAAATAACTTATTACTATTTCGGGCATGATTCCCAAGTTGTGTTTTGAATTATGAATTAAGCTTTCGCAACTGTTTTGATTTACTCCGATGGATATTTCATTGTTGTTGATTTAAATGTTTTAAGTTGTTTTGAAAGTTAAATGTTGTTTGGATACCAAATTAGTAGCAACCCGGTTTGCTAATCCGAGTATTCGGGACATGCAGGTTCGGGTATTATATTTTGGTATCGGAGCATGTGGTTTTAAAACCAATCTTCGGATCATAAATAGATTGTTTCCAAAAGGCTGCACCACATCTCATGCGACTCATCAGCCCCAGGAAGGTAATAAGTTTATGTCTTTGTTTGTTATGTGCTAATGACTGATTAGGGATTTATGTGTGTAATTTAGAATGAGTAATGCATTGATGCACGCTAATGACAACACCCCGCACCTGGGTGACGACCACAACAATGCCGAGACGGAAGAATCTAGCTTCATGCCTCAGTAGAACGCAGGGCAGCCCAATCTGCCACTTAACGTGGGATATAATCAGAATTTCGGGAACCCACCCGAGAACGTCATGCCTACTTTCATGGCCCAATTCCTATAGCAGATGGCGAACGCGCCAATGTTTCAGCAGCCTCAGCCGCCGCAGCGACACATCACCTTCAAAACTCTGAAGGATAACGGAGCAGAGGAGTTCCTTAAAGACAGGGTGGCCGAACCCCAAGTGGCTCTCGACTGGATTGATCTGGTGGCTAGAGTGCTCAATGATCTGAATGTGCCGATTGCAGATCATCCAAGGTTGGCAGCTCAGTTGCTCTGCAAGGGAGCATACGAATGGTGGAAGCACACTGAGAGTGAGTCGTAGACGCCAAAGCCTTGGACGTGGGCATACTTCGATTGGGGCTTCAAGAAAGAGTACATCCCGGCCCGTTTCCGGGAGGAGAAGGAAACATAATTTATGGAGCTGCGACAAGGGGACATGACCCTTGCCGAACTACGACAGAAGTTTGAGCACTTGGCTCAGTTTGCACCCACGCTGGTGTCCACGCCAGCTAACACGATTAAAGAGTTCATGAAGAGGTTGCGCCCCGACGTGCGACCTTACGTGTCTACCGTGATCACCACTGATTTCTCCGAAGCATATGATCTGATGGCTAAGGCGGAGAAGGACGTGGACGATCTGAAGGCAAGCATGGATGCTGGCTCAGTCGCAGGCGGCGAGCAATCAAAGCAAGCCTTCCAGGCAAGTAGGCAACCAATATGCAATCTCTGCAGAAAGAATCACCCTGGGGACTGCTGGCTCACGCAGGGCTTATGCTTAAGATGCGAGAAGGAGGGACACTTCCGTAAGGACTGTCCCACCAATCCAGAACGCGCCTTCCCCATAGCAAAGGTGCAGACACAGACGGCTGGACAGACACAGAGTCAGAGGTCTACCGCGGGCTCAAACCCGCCGAGAAGACAGAACCAGAATCAGAACCGTCAACAGGGACGCACGCCTACACGCACCTACGCCATGCAGAGGCGTACCGAAGTGAATCGTGACGTCATCTTGGGTATATTTTATTTATTCAACACACCTATGCTTGCATTAGATCTACGTTGTTTTACATATGTGTTCCTTTGCCTCAGAAATCTGATATCCAGAGAGGCGATCTGGAATATCCTATGGTAGTATCTAATCCGTTAGGGCATAGCATGCGACTTCACTACTTGTACCGCAACTGCCCATTGATGGCGCAAGGACACCGATTGTCCGCGAACCTAATCGAGCTACCATACAAGGAATTTGATATTGTCCTTGGTATAGATTGGTTGACCGAGCGTCAAGCGATAATTGACTGTGGTTTGCGAACCGTACGACTTAAGACTGACGATGGTGACGTTGTAGAAGTTAAGGGGGAGCTGTTCCCCAAGCCTCCAGAATTTATGTCTTATATGCAAGCAAAGCGACTTATCCAAAAGAAGTGCGAAGCATTCTTGTGTCACGTTCGCGATACCAGAAAGGAGACCCCCAAGCAGAAAGATATCTCTACAGTATGTGACTTCCCCGATGTGTTTCCCGATGATATCCCTAGCTTGCCCCCGCCAAGGGAAGTGGAGTTCTCGATTGATCTGGTTCATGGAACGGGGCCGATTTTTGCAACACCATACCGCATGGCACCCGCGGAGATGAAGGAGCTGAAGGCTCAGTTGCAAGAACTGTTCGATAAGGGATCCATCAAGCCAAGTGTGTCCCCATGGGGAGCGCCAGTCCTCTTCGTCAAGAAGAAAGAAGGATCCATAAGGTTGTGCATCGACTACAGGCAGCAAAACAAGGCCACGGTGAAAAACCGCTACCCGTTGCCGGGGATTGATGACTTGTTCGATCAGCTCAGAAGAGCTATGGTGTTCTCAAAGATAGACCTTCGATCAGGATACCATCAGATCCTAGTAAAGAAGGAAGACATACCTAAGACAGCGTTTCGAACGCGTTATGGACATTATGAATTCACGGTGATGCCATTCGGGCTGACGAATGCTCCGGCAATTTTCATGGATTTGATGAATAATGTCTTTTGTCCCTACCTGGACCAATTTGTGGTAGTATTCATCAACGATATCTTGGTGTACTCCAGGACACCAGAGGAGCACACGAAACACTTGCAGACAGTACTTGGTGTGCTGAGAGAGCACAAGGTTTATGCCAAGCTGTCAAAGTGCGAATTTTGGCTCAATGAGGTCACGTTCCTTGGGCATGTGATCTCCCATGAGGGAATCAATGTGGACCCTAGCAAAATATCATCGATAACGGAGTGGAAGACTCCGAGGAATGCGCGGGAGGTGAGGAGCTTCCTCGGCTTAGCTGGTTACTACCGGCACTTCGTGGAGGGTTTCTCATCCATAGCATCGCCATTAAATAAGTTACTAAAGAAAGATGTGAAATTTGCATGGACAGACGCATGTCAGCAAAGTTTTGAGAAACTCAAGAAGTGTCTGACCGAGGCACTGGTATTGGTGAAGCCAGTGCCTGGCAAGGATTATACAGTTTTCAGTGACGCATCGCACAGTGGACTTGGATGTGTTCTTATGCATGAGGGTAAGGTTGTGGCCTACGCCTCCCGACAGTTGAAACCTCATGAGGGTAACTATCCTACACATGACATGGAGTTAGCAGGAGTGGTATTTGCGTTGAAGATTTGGCGGCATTACTTATTTGGTGAGACTACTTACATCCACACGGACCACAAGAGCTTGAAGTACTTGCTAGCCTAGAAAGAGTTGAATCTGAGACAACAAAGATGGTTGGAGTTGATCAAGGATTACGACGGCTATATTGACTATCATCTAGGTAAGGCCAATGTCGTGGCTAATGCCTTGAGTCGGAAGACTATGGCTGAACTACGACTCCAGCCGAAGCTGGATAATGAGATCCATACGGCTCTAACTACGGATGACTTTTGTGTGAAGACTCGTGAGCTTGTCTCTAAGGGGGAAAGACAAAACTTCACCATTGATGTCAGTGGAGTGTTGCTCTATAGGGATCGCTTGGTGGTACCGAACGATGAAATGAGAGAACGATTGCTACGGGAAGCTCATGAAACCGTGTACACCATGCACCCTGGAAGCAGGAGAGCTACGGGTGACACTCCTTTCGGCTTAGCCTATGGTTTTGAAGCCCGGGCTCCCGTTGAGGCAATAATCCCTACCAGGAGAGAGATAGAATATGACCCGGGAGTTAATGAACAGAATCAAGCCGTAGAACTGAACTTCGTAGAGGAACGAAGGGATGAAGCACGGATCCGGGCAGAGAATTATCGTCGCCAGGTGAAATCTTACTTTGATAGTAGAGTAAAACCAAGGGCGTTCCAGGTGGGGGATTACGTCCTGAGGAAGCGAGAGAAGAGTCAACCAACTAAGGGTGGGAAGCTGGCTAAGAAGTATGAAGGACCTTATATCATCAAGGCCGTTGTTCGCCCAGGTACCTACAAGTTGGTGACTCCAAAGGGAAAAGAAATTGATAGGACGTGGAATGTAGAGCACTTGGTAAAATTTTATCAGTAAAATCATTTTGTAAAGCGCTCTATTTTTAAATTTAAGATGTTTGTTTCAATGAAATTTTTCTTTCCTTTAAAGCCAAGTGCCTTTGCATGTTCATTGTTCTATAGATTTCTTTCACAAAAAAAGGGGGGGGGGAGAGCACCCCCCGGGCGATAAAGACCCACGTTACAGGGAGGTAGATAAGTTTATGCCACCTGCTAAAAATAGGGGAGGTAGATAAGTTTATGCCCCCCGGAGTTAGATAAGTTTATGCCTCCGTCAAAAATAAAGGAAGGGTTGGGATTGGACTTTGAGGGCCTTTACAACCTGGAATTCGGGAAGAACAGCAAACAGACTTCGAGGGCTGAAGCTTAGTATTCCACCAGCATAGATCAACCGAGCAAACAAACTTCGAGGGTTGGAGCTCAACTGATCTAAGGTATATAAGACTATGCCTAAACCCGGAGGAAAGGAGGTCAGGGGCAGGTGAGGTAGGTTCCCATGGCATGTCCAAACCCCGGGAGATGAGATTTTATACAGAGAATGAATTATGTACTTGCATTAGAAAAAGTGCAAAGAAATAACCATTAAGGACCACATTGATGGGCCAAAGTTTACATTTTTGGTTCACAATAAGGGTTCCTATTGAGATAAAGAAAAAAGAAAATGAGGGAATTTATCGATTCCTAATTCGAAGGTTGTATCTTTGAATTACCACGTTAAATCCTAGACTGAAATTGGAGGACATTCCTTAGTATGGGACGCAGGAAAAACTCCTGGACCAAACATGTGAATGCCTCTTGAAATAAAACAAGGAAAAGAAATTTAATTGGCAGGGGGCTAGGCACTGAAGGAGGGCCTATTGCATCCATGCAATCAACAAAAAGGAGGTGGCGGCCCTTCCCATGGGCTCCTTCTTTTCGACGAGGGGCACGCAGCGGAATCAGCAGCTTCCCGTATGTCATAGTCTTTCTAGGTCCCAGGACGGGGAGCTGGTGCTCCAATGAAGAACCATCATTGAGAGACCTCAGCAAGTTTGGAGAAGCAGTCCGGCTTTCACGTGAAGGTTCCGCCTCGACAGTCGGCAGAGAATGCTCAAGTTTAGCCCTGCGCATCCTCTGGTACAACGCGAAGTCTTGGAGGGTCATAGAGTCCCAGTTTATCTTCCCGGATGGAAGCCTGGGTGGACTAGGAGGAGATGGTGCGGGAAGACGAGGTGCTGGATGAAGTCTTGAGAACTCGCTAGGACTTAACCCAGCCATGTCGTTGGATTGAGCCAGGGAGGCAGAGAAATCATCATCTGAGGAAGATGACCCGGAAAGGGTTAAGTCGATAACGATTTTACTCTGAGATTTACTTGCCATGGCGAAGAAATCAGAAAGGGATGAACTAGTGACAAACCGTCCTCTCCCATTTATAGTGAAAGGGGAAGGGATAGTTAGGAAATGATGAATGCGGTTAAAAGACGTGAAAGACTAAGCGATTGGCGAATGAAGCGGTCGAAGATTCCCAATGTTTGACTAGGGGTTTTCGCCACTTAAGTGCATGGGCCAGCTAATTGGGCCCATCTGTGCTTTGGGAAAGATGTCATCCGTGGAAGGTAAGAAGTTTAATGAATATAGACTTCTACTTCATGCAGATGGCGGCACGTACAACACAATTATATTAAATGACAGAAGATAAAGGTTTTTCCATTAAATAGCTCAAACAGAAAATTACATTCTTTTGGGTTACAGTAATGGGCCTTGTCCCTGATCTAACAACAAAACATAAAAGAGACGGGAGATAAAGATTTTCATTAAATAACTCAGACAGAAGATTACATTCTTTTGGGTTACAGTAATGAACTTTGTCCCTGATCTACTTCTATCCTACTACTGGAAAAATCTGAAGGCAAGGCGAGTCGGCACCTCAGAAATCTGAGGGGAGTGCATTCGCTGACCCTTGCTGCCATGCTTGAGCCAGAAAAGGACCCCAGAGCGGGGAGGTGTGGAGAGGGCCCACCGTTCTCTCTTGATGACATTCAAAAGAAGCGAAAGGGTACCAACGGGTTGGGATTGAAAGCCATTCCCCCGTGGGTACCATACAGTCACTCCCATGAAGGCGGACAAGGAGGGCGATACGGCATGAGGAAAGGACTCAATGCCTATTTCTGCTTATACGGAAGGTGGAGGCGGATCCCGGAAGGTTCCGTCCTTTTCCCTGCGTATAAACGGAAGCCTACTTCCCCCCATGTCATAGTCCCCCCACTCCTCAGGTGGCTGTCCATATGACTGCTGAGGGGAGGGGGAACCCTGGGAGGAAGGTCTCGCACCAGAGACCAACCGGGAAGCTCCTGACTGGGGATTGCGTATCTTCTGCGGATGAGATGTGCCAGGACAGCCAGAAGAGACCTCCGTCCTGGCACCATTAGGAAGCACGCCGGAACCCGGAAGAACACCCCCTGACACCTGTTCGGGGAGATGAGGGTGATTCTCCTCCCTGGGCAAGGGAGAAGTCACCGATTGTTCAGAGGCAAGGGAAAGCCCAGAAGAGAGTTCAGGTGTTGGGGCCCCAAGTGAGGGGAATGCCAACGAAGAAGAATCAGAAGAAGAATCGGAAATAGTAAGATCAATAAAGACAACTCTGTTGGCGTTATTTGCCATGTTGAGAATTTGATTGTGATGGTGAAGGGGTTCAGCCTAGTCTCTTAAATAGGCGAGTAATCTCAAAGGAGAAGTGCAAGGGACGCGGAGTCAAAGCACTTATCCGATTGGGAAGCAGTTGCAGATTCCCGAGGAAAGCTAGGGTTGCACCGTTTCATTATTGGGCTAGGGTGAATTGGGCCCGGTGTAATTAAGGTGGGCCAGTCACTTAGCGCAATGATAAACAAGAAAAACAGCACTTTGTGAACGCGGTTAAGCCCAAAGCCTAGGCGGATAAAAAAAATCTGCTAAGTCCTAGGGAGAGATAAGAATCCCAAAAGGAGAACAGTTAGCTTAATGAAAGGAGTTTATGAGGACGGAAATACATCAAGCGGTATCAAGTTACTACCATCTAAATGTTACAAAGCAAAATACAACAGTTAGAGGAGAGAGGGAAAGTCAAGGCCCCGGGTCGGCATGAGAATCTGGGGGAGAAAGAGGGAGAGGTAATCCGTAGTGGGAGATGAAATCATCCAGAGATCAGTGAGCTGGAAGACCACTCCGGACCGCCTCATAAATGCAGTGTTGCATGTCAAATTTCCCTTCTTCATAAAGGGCTTCAGCACGGGCAGTCAGGGTGGCAACCTCCTTTTGATGGGAAGCAATTGCCTTCTCCAGTTCACCCATCCTTAACCGGAGCTTGCTTGCAGTCTGTCTCTCTTTCCCCAACTTCTCGAGGGTAAGCCGTCTCGCCTCCATGTGTTTCACCGCGAGTTCGTTAAGACGAAAACCCTCATGCTTGGCCTCCTGGAGGGAACTCTCCAGCTCAGAGATCCGGGATTCCCTTTCAACCAACTCAGCTTTCAGACTTCCCACCTTGTCTTCTGAAGCTGAGGCCTTTGACTCCAGAATGGAGATTTGTGCCCGGAGCCTGTCGAACTACATTTCCAGATCTTGAGTCCCCCTTTGGTAAGCAGCAATTTGCTCTTGCAGGGACTTGACTCTGGACCTTTCAGCTACTAGTTCCATAGAGCCATTTTCCTTGAGCCGGGCATTCTCTTCTTGAAGGGCCTGAACTTGTTGCTCCAGAGAACCAACTTTCTGTTGCAGAGCCCTGGCCGCCAGCTCCTTCTCCTTCAAGGCCACCACGGCCTGGTAGTTCCCTGATGCTCCACCCAGGTACTCCTCAGTGAGGGTGAGGAGTGATTGTTGGGCCTAGGGAGGGGAAGGGAAGTCAAGAAAGAGATAACTAAAAGGGGATAAAGAGATTCTTGAAAAGGAAGAGTACCTGCTCCATGGAGTAAAGAGCATTGAGAGAAAGCAGGTCAGGACAAGCCTGAGGGATTGTGGGCTCCTTTAACGACTCCTTCATCTTCTCCAGATTTGCCTGAATGGTCCAATGGGAGGCCTGCATGGAGATCAAACCGCGAGAGAACCCAGCCCATCCTTCCTGGAAAGCGGGATAAGTTTGCGGTGTGAACTTACGCCGGATGGGGACATTGAGGGCTGGAGGTGTGGCAGTAGAACACTGTCCCTCCGGCTCTGATTGTTTCTTGGGCTCTCTTTCCATTTCTGGGGGAGCTCCCATATCCCTCTGCTCTTCAACCTCATTCTCTTTCGAGGGGGGAGTTTCTGGTTCTGTCTGCACGTCAACCTCCTTCTCTGTCGCAGAAGGAATCTCTGGTTCTTTCCGCCCCTCAACTTCTTCCTCCACTTCTTAGGGAGCAGTTGTAGTTTGTGGGGAGGTATTGTTTACCTCAGGCTGAGGCTGCGCCGCTGGTTTTTTGAGTGGTGCTTGGTCTGGGAGTTCATCTGCCTCATGGTCCAAGCTATCCGGGTTGGGTAGCTCTAAACCTCCGGGTGCAGCAGCGGGGGTGGTACTCTGAGTACCTAAAGAAGTAGACAGGGGTCTGGGCAAAGCAGGAGTACCATCACCCTTACTCTTCTTGGGAAGGAAGTCATCATCTGTGACCCCTTCTCGTGGCCGTTTCTGGGACGGAGTGGGCCTTCTCAGCCCAGGAATAGCAGAGATGGGGACAGCCTCCAACGCAGCAGTCGGCTTGCGGATGGCCAAGGCAGTGAAGTCACCTAGGGTTTGGACCCCGGAGGAGCTCCCGGCTGGACCGGATTCCACAGCAGGAGGAGCCTTTGATCTTTCAGGAGAAGGCTCCCCTTCAAACGGAACAGGGTCAGGACCCAGGGGATAGTAAAAATCCGCCTTCTGGTATAACCTGGCGTCTTGAAGGGAGTGATGTGGAATTAAACCCCCTTTGTCTCTCAAGACGTTGTACACTTCCTCCGCCGAGTGTGCCGTAGCGAACTTCGTCCAGGAGATAGAACTACGAAGAACAACACCCGGTAGATCTAAGGGACTGTGAGCCGGGAACTCAATGACGAAGTATCGCTGGGACCATTTGTCATTCTTAAACTCAACCCTCTCAAAAATTGGGGCATGAGAATGGGAATACAGGCTGTAAAAAGGAAAAGACCCACCAATACTGAAGAGGATGAGGAATTCGTCCAATGTTGGGGTTCTGTCCAGAGCACAGCACCGCAAGATGTAGGAGGCGACATACTTGTGCGCATTGCAGTCAACTGACCAGGAGCGAATCCGAAATGACGGCAGAGGTCGCGGAGCAGACCATGGAGGGGTAATCTGAACCCGTTCTCCACAGAGTGATATTGCATGACCATATACTTCTGAGGGTTTGGATTGTAGGATAAACTAATCCCCCCGACGACATCGGGATGGTGGACCCAGAAGCCCTTGCCTAGAAGCATGGCCATTTCTCAAAGTTAATCCTCCTTAATGATAGAGGGTTCGTGGGTCCAGGTTTCGGGATTTGCAGGAGCCATTTCGGAGAAGGGAGTGAAAATTTGGGGGAAAATTGCAGTCGGAATTCGGGTCGGGTTAAGATTCAGTAGCGAAGGAGGAAGAAGACGGAACCAGAAGGGGTTATATCCCAGGGTACTCGAGTGCGACGTTTCTAATCCAACACAAAAACCGAAGGCGGCTCATCATTAGTTTTCTAGCTACACGTCGCCAGAAAACTAGGGGCCTTGAGATGGATATCGGGTCTGATGGACCCAAATCCAGGCCCAATGAAGGCCCATAACAGCGCGAGTCGTATAAGGCCAGGTGGGGGTAACGGGCCGAGCCCGATACCACACGTGTGGCAATGGAAAAATGTTAGACGCCTCGCACACCTCTAGAGGGGGGGGTGAATAGAGGTGTTGCCCAAAAGACCAGTTTTTTGCGCGGAAACGTTCTTCACGGATATTCAATAAAATCAATGCACCACAAACAAAATAAAGTGAAGGATAAGAGCAATGCACACACGATATATACTGGTTCGGCCTAAATGCCTACATCTAGTCCCCGAAGCAATCGTGCCCACGCCTTCACTAACCCGTCAAACTTAACGGAGTTTGACAATCCGAATACAACTCGAGAACTTGATTTCACAAGCCTCTTATCTTACCACCGAAGTTTTGATTTCACAAAACTCATGATTTCTTCCACCTAACGTTTGATTTCACAAACCGTTAGGATTTCTACCACTTGGTGTAATCCCAACACCAAGAATACAAAACCCTTACAATAAAGTAAGAAAACAAACCGCAACCGAGTAATTCTCCCAACACGGAGTAGATTGTTGCAAATACAATGAAGTCCTTTAGAATATGGCAATATCTCTCAAAGACTCAAGAAATGAGGAAAAACTCAAGCAAGAAATGATTTAGCAATCAAAACAATTGCCTTGCTTGGATATAAGGAGGGGATTGAGTAGAATCTCTTGGGATATTCAAAGGATATGTTCTTCAAAGTGTTCTAAGTGTTCTTATCAATATAATCACGAAGAGGGTTGTTTATAGAAGTTAGGGAGTGGATAGAGATGAAAAGAATTCAAAAAAACTAGCCGTTTGGTAGTTGAAACTGTCGACTTATTCGAATAACTCAAGAACTATTCGAATAGTTTGGATCAATCACGTGACTTGAAAAACCAGTTCCTATTCGAATAAATGGTGATTTATTCGAATAAATCAGATTGAAAAACCAGGACTTATTCGAATAAGTGTTGATTTATTCGAACAAAACATGATGATTTCAGTCACAGGAAAGATCACGACTTATTCAAATAAACTAAAGATTATTCGAATAGATAGACAACTTCTCCATACAAAGGCTGATCTAAAATGTGTTTTAAAGGTAAGATGATAAGGGAATGAACCTTAGAGATGCCATACTCTTTAACACATAATCTAAGACCTAAAACACTACCCAACTAAGGAAACAACCTCTTCGGTCTCGTTCCTTCCACCAATGCTCAAGTCCCTTCTTCACGGACGGATATGAACTTGTTGTAGCTTTGATTCTTAGCCTTGATGCACAAAATGATGATGATGTTTTGTCACCCTTTTGTCATTATCAAAACCTAAAAAGACAATGGGCAAAGGACATTGCAAAAATATATATTCATGATAGCACATTATCCAATAATTTCCCCCTTTTTGATAATGACAAACCCATTAGGAGATATGCATCATACAAGGCTAGTTCCCCCTCAAGTATAGCATCAAAAATCAAATAAAGACATACAAATCTATACTATCTTCCCCATTAAGATATGCACAAATACAATTCCCCCTGAATATATGCATATCTACACCATCTTCCCCCTTTTGACATTATCAAAAAGAGATGGCAAAAAGATATATGCCCATGCAAATAGATATCAAACAAATAATATCACATTGTCCAACTAAAATAAAAATCAACATTAGTTGGAATTAATAAAGTGAATCAACTTCCCCCTTAATTGATGCTTCACCCAATTATGTGCTTGGCGCATCTACTTCAACTCAAGTCGAAGTGTTCAAACACACCTTCCTTAATGAATCTACGAAGCAAATCTTGGTACCCAATGCCTTTTGGGTCCAGGGGTGTTATGGCAATAATAAAAATCATATGAACGATGCATCACATTATCTTGACTTAGAAGCAAGTGCCTATACTTAGTGTAACAAACTGGTGTGATGTGTCCTACTTTATTACAATAATGACACCTAACACTAGGGTTGTTCATGTTTCTAGGACGTGTGATGTGCTTTCTAGGTTGTCTATCAAACTTAGAATTCCTAGAATGACTTAGTTNTTTTGCAAAAGGGTGATTTTATATTCCAAATCTTTGGCAATAGATGAGACTTTCTTAAATTCTTTAAATAAATCACCAAATGCTTCTTGTAGTTCTTCAAAACTAAAAGGATCGTTAGAAGAACTTACCTCTTCGGATTCACTTTGAGCCATAAGACAAATGGCTACTTCATCATCGGATGAGGAAGAGGAGCTAGAGTTGGATTGCTTTTGGCATTTAGACTTCTTGAATTTTCGATTAGGGCAATGACCCTTGATATGTCCACGCTCTCCACGTCCATAGCAAGTAGGCTTTGTACTCTCATTCAATTGCTCAAGCTCATTTTGCAAGAAGTCATTAAATAACTCGAGAATGTCACTTTCCCTAGAGCCGCTTGTCTCGACATATTTTGACGATGAAGCTTTGAGTGCAACTCCTTTGAATGATAGATTTTGTTCCCTTTTGATCTCCGCTGCACTAGAAAAGTTAGACATTTCATAAGTGAGTAGTTTACCTCGAAGTGCGTCATATGTCAATGTATTGTAATCCCGGCCTTCTTTGATAGGGTTGACCGTAGACTTCCATTCCGATGTGAGACTTCGAAGGATTTTTCGAACAAGAACATGATCCTCATAATGCTTCCCAAGTGTATCCAAATTTGAGATGATAGTTGAAAATCTCTCGAACATGCCATCTATTGTTTCATTTTCCATCATCATGAAAACCTCATACTCATGGGTGAGTAAGTCTATCTTTGAGTCCTTCACTTGACTTGTTCCTTCATATGTGACCTCTAATTTGTTCCACATCTCATTGGCCGTCTTGCACCTTGAGATTTTCCGATAGTCATCCGGGTTCACGGCACAATATAGAAAGTTGATGGCCCTTGCATTTAGTTGCATCTTCTTCTTGTCATTTGAGGTATATTCGGTCTCTAACTTTGGAACAAGAACCCCGTCAACAATCTTCGTGGGAACCGTCTCTCCATGCTTGATCACCA